CTCCTCTTAATCACCTAAGTCACCTGATTTGAGGACAGAGGCTTTCGAATCACACTAACTGCCTGTGGGAAGGGCCCTAGCAGCCTGGGCTCTGGGTCCCCACCCCCAATTTAAGTAGGACTTCCTCTCCCATCCATTGTATGTATTGGGTCTCCTAAGATTTGGATTAAAGAAAAGGTTTTGTTGCTTAAGAAAACATTTTTGCGAACAGTACCCTAGAGAACTGTCAAGCAGAGAGCCCAGATGGGTGCTGACCTGGCCCAGAAGTTGATCCAGCTCCTGCGTAGATGGAAATGCTGACATAAGAGCCCCCAGCTCTTTCGGGACTGTATGAGCTGCCCCAGTGGAGGAAACTGGGCTGGGCTCTGAGCCCAGAGGCAAAGGGCTGGCTCATGTTTAGGGAGCAGGTCTCCCCGCAGAAACATTAGCTTGGCCTCCAAAGGCTGCGAGATCTAGAGGTTCCTGGTTCCAGTCCCTCGTCAGGCCTGGGTGAGGAGCTCTGCCCAGGCTGTGTCTGGATGGCTGCGGGCGGCAGGCAGCCTGGAGTTAGGCAGGTGGCCGGGCCCAGATGCTCGGCCTACATCCGCACAGGCCTGCGTGCAGGGTCAGCCTCTGTGGTGACAGAGGCCAGAAGGCAGAGTGGAGATTGGTGCAGCAAGTGCTCCCAGGTTTAAACAAACAGAGAAAGCTGGAGTCTAGGCACTGGTCAGGAATCTGGCGGGTCAGAAAGTTCAGGAACAAACAGGGAAGCAGATTCATGACACCAGGCTCACACATCGCTTGGCTGCTATGGCTGTTTTGTTATCCCAGCCGGAGCTGCCTCTCTGCTTCTCTTGACCTTGCAGGTTTTGGAATCTGAACAAGACTTGCTGGGGGCCTGCAGTGAAGGGCCACTGAGGCAGCGGAGGGTGTGTGTGTGTGCGTGCACTGGCGAGGGGGGAGAAAGAGCAGAGGTAGCTCCTGACCCTGGGCATCCTGGCGACTGTCCCAGCATCCAAACCAGGCTGTTTGCTCCCCCAGAGTCCCTTTGCCCCACCTCTATGCCAGTCTCCTATAAACAGTAAGTCTTGGCCAGCTTGATGGACACAGGTACTGTCCCATTAGAAGGCCTTAGAGGGCTTAAGGAGCAGATAAAACGACAGCAGTGAGAGTCACAATAGAGGCAAAACAAAACAAAACAAAAACCTAAAAATACAGGTCCGAGCTCTGTACACCAGCAGAGAGAAGTACTGGCCGGATGCCCACAGGAAGATCACAGAATCCTAAGGTCAGAGGGCCCTTGGAGTCCAACCCCTCTCCCAAGGCACAAAGTCTTCCTCTAGCATCCCTGACATGGTCATCTGCTTGCTCTTCTGGGGACAGGAACGCCAGGACCACAGGAGCAGCCCCTCTCTCAGTCTTCCCTCCCACACAGCAGGATCTCCCTTACGGTGCTTTGATTCCTTGGTTCTGCTTTGACCTGTGAGCCTGGTGTGTTGAGCTGTAGAAGCCAGAAATCATGCCCCCCCCCGCCCCCGAAAT